AAAAAGAAAAAGAAAAATTATAAATTGGATTCACTCTGCGCAAAACATGTGCAAGTTTTAAAAATTTGCATTGCACCCGTTTAATGCTGTTCTTCTGTAAGTCTGTCTTCACCAAATCAAAGAAGCGTATTCCAACTTTGAACAAACTAATGTAAATAAAGTACAGTGGTTTTAAGGCAGCTTCAGTTCTAAACTTTTGACAATTACGAAATAAGAATCCTAACATTTTATTTAGATTTAGAATAGTATTAACATGTACATTAAAAGTTAGCTCCGAATTAAATATAACACCTAGATCTTTAATTTGATCACACCTGACTAGTTCTTCATTATTAATGGTATAGTTAAAATTTGTTATGTTGAATTTTCTGCTAAAACTTCCCGTGGTTATCTCTTTACATATTACTGCTGCAGCTGCTAACTTTTCTTCCTCGGAGACACAATACAGGGCAAAAAGTTTTAAGTTCCTATAGACACGGGGCCGTTTCAAAACCTCAAAAACCATCCTGTAAAGTTCATTTGTCGGTAACTAGCCGTACTCTAGCAAAATTTTCCTCGAAAATCCTACTTCACTTTGTCCTGATACTTCTCTGCGATCGGTGCCTCATTATTTCAACGAGCTCTTTACCTAGAAAACTTTTCCCTTGTTATTTTATAATACATCCTCTAACTATATTCCCCAATTTTATACTGTGCGGAGGGAAGACTCGCACTAAACAAATATTATAACCGTGTGTTGGTTAATGATGAAAGAGAAAATTGGGGGAGCGGAAAAGTTAATTATATTGGAGATTGGAAAGTGAGTATTTGGGTTTACACAAAAACGACATAAACTATATTTTAATAGATTTGAAATTATTAGAATTATAACCTCAAATCGGTTTTTAACTACATCCAAGGGTCCCAGGTCCGAATCCCACCGTTGGCCGGGATTTTTTTATTTAATTTAATTATTTAAAATTAATTCTAATGCCTTGGTAGGATTCCCCACTCGACCATTCACTGTTGGGTTCTAATTAACAGTGCTGTTCCTAAAGTGGCGCTGGGAAATAGTAACAAAGTCTACACAGAACACGAGGCTAATGACCTTAGCAGTCGATGCCGATGACACCAAATAAAAAAAAAACTACATAATGGCTTGCTATATAATCAGTTTTCGCAACGTGTTACATACTAGCTATTTATGATAAGTGTTATATTGTTTGTTGTGGATGGGAAATATTGTGGAAAAAGCGTTAACGAGTGGAGCAAGCCCACAAACAAAATAAAATCTCTTTTAATCAGTTTATCATACAATATTTTTGTATAACTGTTTTATTTTTAATACATAATAGATAAGTCGAAATTGCATACTTCGACGTCTCTTAACAGCTGAGTAACATCCGGATACTTTTAAAACATTTTTAAAAAATTTTATCCTGTACCGTATCTGGGACCAAATTTTGGATACTTTTTGCGGTATTCTGATACTTTAAAATTATTGAGTCCAGTATACCTATATCGCATCTCACCTCCGTATTTTGTATAGGACTATCTTAAATCCTATATACCGCATTTGTCGCCCTTCATAACTGCCTCCAATGACAAGAAAAGCCTAAAGCGTTATAAGAAGACTCAAAATAGGTAATTCCCCGCTCACCCATGGTTACCTGATGTCCTCACAGAATCCCCTATCTGTAAATTATGTGATAGTGTAATGCGCTCCACACACAAGCTATTTATATGGTGTTTTGGCAGCTAGCGTTGTCGCAAGCGTCCTAAACGCACAAAAATCACCTAAAAAACGCATATGTGTGTTCGCGCCCTCCCTTGCTGGCGATCAGCTTGCGGCACGAAAATGCTGGCAGCCGAAATCAGTCGTGTTTGATATTTGGGCCAAGAAAGTTGGCGAGACGCTTTAAAATAGCTTGTGTGTGTCAACAATGGCGGAAAATCGACGTTTTGCACACTCAGAAGAATTTATTTCTGCTTTCATTGAATTATTTAAACAGAAAAAGTGCTTGTGGATAATAAAAAGCATAGATTATTTTAATAGAATTGTTAAGAATAGGGCTTACGAGGAACTACTATCCTCATTCATTCTTAAAAAATTTCTATAATCGTCGGGATGTATCTTTAATTCATTCAAAAGATTTATATGTGATAACGAATCTTTTTTATAGCAACCACTCTTTAACCCATGTTCAACGTTTTTTTAGTTTTTCTTTTCAGCAATTGAATCGCTCGTTTCAAAAACGACATAAGTCACTAAAACGTAATTTTACAGAAGAGGCAAAAAACTAGATAATTAAATAAAATAGATAAATCAAGTACTCAAACTATTTTAAATTGATGTTTAAATATGTTTTTGATATAAAAAATACACAATAGTTTTTTTGCCAAATGTGTTTCTGAAAAAAAAAATATATTTGAGGTCTTGACTAATGTAGTTTATGAAAAGAATAAAAGTATCCAGCAATTTTGTCTTACAAATTAGGTACAACAAATTAAACACAATCAATATAAAGTAAGAAAAGCTTTATTTATGATATTACAATAGTATTTGTACACTATGGAACGTAATCATATTATTATTCATTATCATCTTCTATATTATCATCTCCCTCTTCTACGATGTCTGTTGTTGGCCATCGCGAGATTTCCTGATAAAATGGCTTATACTCGTCCAGAATGCTAGGTTGAACTTGTCGAATATTTTCAGGATATTTTTTAGGATTTATTGGAACTCAGTTATTTGGATACGCTTGTTCTGTCGGTGGTAAAGTATTCACGTGATTCGATGTATAACTAAACGTGTGATTTTTTAAACCATCTATAAACTGATGTGCTACAACAGCTCCTCTTTTATTTTGGTTGTATTCAAAAGACATGAATGAGGGCGGTTTGCTCACCTTCGTGAAATACATAAAATACCGTCTTATTCGTTTTCAAGTTTTTTTATACCGAAACAGTTGACCCACAGCTGCCGCAAATAAAATATTTCTTGAATTGGAATGTGTGGCAGCGTTGCATGAAATCAAAAGTAAGTGCTGCAACGTCATCTCGAGTTTGACATAAATGTCATATTTCTGATATCTTGTTGTGGAACTTCTTGGCTCTCTTTTTGTGTACAGATAACTCGGCCTCAGCAGCTCTTTTAGCATGTTCACCTAACCATGGGCTTTTTATTTTGACAGTTAGCTCTTCGCAGGTAATACAAGTATCAACTTGAGGTCTTCCAAACCGTAGAGAAAAAGTGTCCTTGAAATATTGGGAATAACATTAATATTTCACATTTAGGTTTGGCTGTTTGGATTTAAATAGCAAAAACATTGTCTTAGTATCTAATCGTGCATCAAGATATTCAAGACAAAATGTGATCGTGGATTTTTTAGCACTTCGGGAGGTGTTGTGTTTGCCTTTGGATGCTTACCAAGCTTATCACGTGGTGTAAGAGACTGTGAATGTAACTTACATAGACGTCTCACCCGTCTTTGACTTATACCATAAATCGATAAAGTACTTGAATGCATACTCACGTGGAACTGAGTTTTCCTTTCGCGTTCTATGTTTCTTTACTGGTGCTTATTCCATCAATTGTTGGGATAAATGTCTTTCTCGTCTTTGGTATTAAAGCCGTTAATTTTTGTTAAGAAAAAGTTGAAATTTTCTGCCGAAAATGCTCGAAAGCATTGGTTTTGCAACTAAAAAAAATTTTACTAAGTGGAACATAAATATTTTTTAAATGACTTACTTGCAATGCGAACCTGTTCTACGTGTTAATATTATGTTTCCTTTCCAGTTGGCATGTTAGAGTCCTTTAATTTTAGCATGTTTTATAACAGTTCGCTTATAAGTATTAGGATTTTTTTGTTTCTTCTTTCGTGGCTCAGGATTATCACTCTCGTTAGAACTAGACATATTTAAATGCGTATATTAAATTTGTGTAACGTCTCGTGTAAAATATCGATTGATATAGACTAACAGTTGCCGGTAAAGAAATACGAAGCAAATAGCAAAGATGGCGTGATGTCATATTATCGACAGCCGACCCCCCTCCATCTCCATATCTAGGTACTCGTTCGGAGCAAGAACTACATAAGTCAACGACTTATGATGCTTTTGCAACGAACATAGAATACAACCTTGCGTTCATTCTGTAACGTTAAATGAGACTTGTGTCGTTTTTATTCGGAACGTGCGTTTTCTAATGTAAAGGCGTTGGTAAAAACTGAATTTTGAAAAAAGTGACTTATGTCGTTTTTGAAACTAGTGATTCAATTATAATTAGTGCACTTGCTATTTTTCGTGAATCGCAAACTACTGAAACGCTTGTGTGTGGTTAAAATTGCATAAGCGTCGAAAACGCTTGCAGCAACGCTAGCTGCCAAAACGCTGAAATAGTAGCGTGTGTGTGGGGCGCATAAGACTAACAATTGAGCATATACTTTTAGATTGCAAACACTACAGCTCAACTCGTCGCAAACACAAGCTCAGTGGAACTCTTAAAAACATTCTCGGTCTACCTAACCAGTTTAGTGCTGTGATTCAGTTCGTTAAAGACTGTCGACTGTTTAATTTGATTTTATATGTAACCAAATGTATCACAGATCCCGGTGTCAGTGGCCACTAGATGCTGGGGTTTAATCAAGAAATACATAAAAACTGGACTTTATAGATTAGGCAGGTCTCTAGTTCTTAACTGTATAAGGTCCTACCCTTGATTTAACACATCGCATAATGTTTTAATGCCATAGCAATGAAAAGGTTTAAAGTATCTAATCAATTTCGCAAAGTCATGTGGCATTGATATATTTTAGAATAACTACATACTATGATAGCGTCAGACTTCAGTCTTGCTATTCAGAGTAAGGGATATTTGATCTTTACAACCATCCACCCCAATTTAAAAAATAGAAATGTACTGACTTTTTCTATGACATAGATACTTTACAATTTATTTTCTTTATTTTATTTGTTTATAAGAAAGTAAATTTTACACTGATTTTATTTTGTTTCAGGAATACTGTGGTTCAATCTTTAGCCCTAAACTGCGAGGAAAAATGTCGTCACTAGTTCTATATTGTTGACAATTATTTTGTTCCGTAAGTAAAATTTGTTTTAATTTCACTTTTTATTTATATTAGACGTTCCTCCAATGAAGTTTCTTAAGAAAACCTACATTTACCCGTTTAATTAAGCGTATTATAGCAAGGGTGGTCTTGAATGCTATGTATTTCGTATAGTATGAGAGCCCGCTGCAAATTTCGACCGTCATCTGATAACGAAATGAAATATGATCCGAAGGCCTGTAACAACATTGTACTTTACCAAATTGCACCTGTGCCAATCCCTATCCTGAGCAAAGTGGTTAAAAAAAATTATTTCATATTCGAAAAATCACATAAGACAATTATTGTGTTTTCCCTGAAAATTACAATCCTAATTCATTGTGAACCTAGCTTTTAAACCTGAAATAATAATATGTTTACCTACCTTTTAAGCCATGTTTATGTGTTAAAGGAAGAAGGATAGCATTGTATAAACCATTTGCAGAGATAGTCAATAATAATTATAAACTCTTGTTAGACAATTATTTTAAACCATAATCATAGTAGTGTTTTTGTCGTTTTGATTCATATTTTTAATGAGTTTTACCTACTAATCGTGGATAGATGTTTTTGTGCAATGTTAATTAAGAGGAAGAAAATGCTTCCCTTTTACGATATACAGGATGTTTCATAATATATGAGCAGGACTTCAGGATGTGATAGCTCGTCGAAAAATATGAAAAAACGTTTCTATTAACTTACCCTCTAAAATGCACCATTTTCGAGATACAGGGTGTTGAAATTGAAAAAAAAATTTCTACGCCACTGGAAAAAGTACGGTTTTGAGACGCTCATTTGAACCGCCAATATTTTCTACACAAAAAAGGTACTCTTGGTCATACGCTCTAAAGTCGATCGTTTTCGAGAAAAATCAAATTTTAATGTTAAAATACATGGTCAATTTTTGGAAATAAAACAAAATTTCATTTTTCTCGAAAACGGTCTACTTTAGAGCGTATGACCAAGAGTACCTTTTTTGTGTAAAAAACATTTGGGGTTCAAATGGGCGTCTCAAAACCGTACTTTTTCCAGTGGCGTAGACATTTTTTTTTCAATTTCAACGCCCTGTATCTCCAAAAAGGTGCATTTTAGAGGGTAAGTTAATAGAAACGTTTTTTCATATTTTTCGACGAGCTATCACGTCCTGAAGTCCTATATTATGAAACACCCTGTATATTAAGATATATTTTAATGTTATTTTCTGGAAAACTTTAAGGGCAAACAAAATTAGCGCTGTCATGCCTTATGAGATTTTTTTAATATAAAATATTTTTTTTAAGCCACTTTGCTCAGGATTGGGATTGGCACAGGTGCCATTTGGTAAAGTACAATGTTTTTCCATGCTTTTGGGGTATATTTCATTTCGTTATCAGATGATGGTAAAAATTTGCTCTTGGGCTAGTTTCAGAAAGCCCTTTTTATTTTTGGAAAGTATTAAAACCGTTAAAACTTAGTGGCATTATACATTTAACAAATTGACTAACAAACAAAAAACGCCCTGCACACGTAACGATCTGCAGATCGTAAAGAAAATCGTACGGCTTACAGTACAGCCATTTTTTGTACACACGATGCAACACATTGTACTGCCGCAGTTCAAATTATTCAGTTTTCGTCGAGAAGGGCTACCGTTATGTCAAGAATTTCAAAGAAGAAAGCTGTCGTACTTGTAGCTGCGGTATTGCTGATGAAGATGATGAACAAAAAGAAATCAAAAAGCGAAAATGGTGTAAAAAGTGGTTGCTGGAGAGAAAGAAATATTCACATATGAGGTTGTTAATAGTGCTGGAAAAAGAAGTACCTCTTGATTTTAAAAACTATTTAAGAATGGATTGTGATGCCTTTGCGTATTTGATGGATTTAGTTTGTAATAAAATTACGAAGCAATATAGAATTATGAGAAACGCAATATCTGCTGAAGAAAGATTGGTTGCAACACTAAGATATTTAGCAGCAGGATGTTCTTGTATTGTTTATTTTCTTTTTCATTACTTCTTGTGATGCTTCTGGGAACAATTCCTTAAATTTTTTAAACAAAATTTCATAACTGGAATTTCTTCTCATTTTATTTGCATAATCTTTTGATTTCACATCCCATAGGCATCTATATTTTCTCTGTATAAATCAATAAATATGTATCTCTTTATTTAGTCAAAAAACTAATTCTATTTACATATACAGCATACATAGTAATAAAAAAAAATAGTACAAGTACAATAATAATTTTTACAAACTAATTCTTTTCACATATACATTATATAAAGTAATAAATAGTACAACATGGAGTTTTTTTATAAAAAATACATTACATATAAACGAAAATTAAATTTAGAAGTAAACAAATTTACACTAATATATGTATCTCGTCGTGTCTGAGGAGGGGTTTGAACGCAAGTCTAAACGTGTGGAGTGTATTCCTGCCGCAGTGCGCAGTTACGATATAATTTTTATTTATTTTTGGTTTAATCAATATTATGGATTTAAAAAATAAGACATTCTGGGAAGACTTTATTGATTTATATAGAGAAAATACATGCCTATGGGATATGAAATCAAAAGATTATGCAAATAAAATGAAAAGAAATTCCAGTTATGAAATTTTGTTTAAAAAATTTAAGGAATTGTTCCCAGAAGCATCACAAGAACTGATGAAAAAGAAAATAAACAATATAAGAACATCTTTTAGACGCGAACTGAAGAAGGTAAGATTATAAATATATGTATTGTATATTCATAATATGGGAGTATTATAGGTATCACACATTTTTGTCATTTTATATTTACATAATTCCTAATTGGGATTTACAAAAGTTACTTATTTTAGGTTAAGGACTCCAAATGCACAGGGTCCGGGAGTGATGATATTTATAAGCCTTCCCTTTGGTATTATGATTTATTGCTTTTTACTCGAGAAAGTGAAACAGCAAGAAAGGGAATATCAAACGACGAAGACGGGACAAGGAATATGAACATAGAAACAGATAAGGTAATTAAATAATTTTTTTATTAGCATTTTTTGCACAAATTATTGTTATTATAGCATTTATTTGGATACTATTTCACCATATAATCTTGAAAAGAAACTTTACCAACAGAGTTAAAAAAAATGTATAGGTTTCTCTTATATTTTTTGTAATGACAGCATTTGTAGAAATATGATCCACTGCCAGCAGGTTTTGATATATTTATATGTTTATCGTCGATTGCGCCCAAACAATTATTAAATTGCCAATGATTCCGGAATTCATTGCTAACTTTTTTCCATTCAGTTTCTGTTGATGGAACCTAAAAGAATATGCAGGATGAATAATTAAGTAATCTTTTTTTTTCTGCTACCTACAAAAATACACACAAAATCCTCCACAAAAACTATAAATGTAAAATATGTCCCAATATTTATTTAGTGTCCATTTTTTAATAATAACAATATTCTCGAGCAAGATAATCAATCACTAATTTTTTTTTTTTTTTAGAATAAGTAACTGGTATAATGAAGAAACTGAAGAATCTTTATTGTCCCCTAGTACTGAGTTACAAACTACAAATACTGAGGAAGATTCAGAAGAGACTTCACAAAGCTTATTAAGATCCCGCATAAGAACTACTGCCTCAGTAACACCGAAAATAGTTTCACGGAAAAGGTCTCAACCAACAAAAAGCACCGCGCTGGAAGTAAAAAAAGGCCCTTTTTGATGCTGCTCATAAATATTTGTCCAACGAAGAAAATGTAGATGACGAGTTGAATATAACGGGAAAAAAATTTGCTTTTCAATTGAAAAAATTGGACGATCAGCAGAGACTCATTACGGAAAAGTTATGGTCGGACATCATATTTTGCGGTGCACAGGGAAAATTTGAATTGGACTGCACAATAAAGTTTTCTTCACAAAATATGCAACAGCTTCAATATAATCATAAGCCATTCAATACAGTTCCTCTGAGAGCATCAACATTTGTTTTGCAACATGATTCTAACCAAGCCATTAGCCGTCAACCAGATTTGCCCCTCAATATCACTCCGTCAGATTCAAGATTTGATTCGCAACAGTATTCTAACTCAGAAATTAACTGTCAACGAGATTTACTCCGTCAAGAAGTCACCCAGACCCAGCAAACATAAACATGTAACATATATGTATCATTTACATGTACTAGTTCCGTGTTACATAACAAAGTAACTTACATTTGTTATATAGCAGGTTCCTTATATGTGATGTAATGTGTTAAGTACATGTAAGGAACAATGTTATATATCGGAAGACATGTAACATTTATATTACCATTGTAACATTTAATATGCTTCATTATTACAGCACATATACATTGCTTTTTTCATATAACATTAGTATTATAAATGTTATATAAATGAAGATATATAAATGTGTCGTCTCAAAATGTAGGTATTAGTTAGGTATTAGTCTACTTAAGTTGGAACCATATGGAAAACTTTTTTATTATTGATTTTGTAAAAAAATGTATTCCTAATAAAAAGTTCTACATCGTCCAAAACTTAACATGCAATCATAAGATAATAATTTATTTAAGCTGTCTACGAGGTTTGTCTAAAAATATGAATTTTACTCAAGAGTAAAGTACCTTTATGTTTTACAATACAGAAGAACATTATAAAGTAAAGTTATTTTGAAATAAAAGTTATATTCAAATATGCAATTACAGTCATTTAGCATGAAAATTCAGGTTAGGTAATACATTTTACATTATCTGTAGTTATAAATTAATTAATCACCAAACCTGAATTTTAATGCTAAATGGCCGAAATTGTATATTTAAATATAACTTTTAATTCAAAATAACTTCACTTCATAACATTCTTCTGTATTGTAAAATATAAAGGTACTTTACTCTTGAGAAAAATTCATATTTTTTGGCAAACCTCGTATACAGCTTAAACAAATTAATATCTGATGGTTGCATTTTAAGTTTTGGACCATGCAGAACTTTTTATCAAAAATACATTTTTTCACAAAATCACT